TTCATACCTTCTTGGTTAGATGCTTCAATCTTGGACAAAAATTGAAGATTCTCGTCAATCTTGGACAAAAATTAAAGAACTGCGATGGTGGCCTGCTTCAGAGTGACTAATGAACTTCCGAGTTGGACTCAAAGAACTTCCGATGGTGGCTTGCTTCTCCGCGATGGTGGCCTGCGTGCGATTCGGAAGTCGGAAGTAGGAAAGTCGGAAGTGCTGGACTGCTGGACTCAATGGACTGCGTCTCTGATTTGAAGATTTGAGGGGTCTAACTATTGACCGTAAACCTAAAAGGCATGACTATTGACTAAGTACTATTCGGTTAATTACAGTTCGGTTCGGTTTTGAATAGCCAAAACCGAAACCGAAACCGAATTAAATCGATTCGGTTCGGTTTTTTGAGTTCGGTTTCGGTTTTCACGGTACGGTTTTTTTTGGTATTGTTCGATTGATTTCGATTCGGTTTTCGGTTTTTGGTTTTCCGGACCCAGCCCTAAACGGCACCTCCTCCTCCACTATCGATCGTGAATCAGCTCCTACAGTACAATGGTTGTCACCTTCCCCATTTTCTTTTTATATAAACCATCCTCAACCTTCTCATTCTTCACCAAAATTTATGAGTTTAGTACCAATGTGTTCCCGAGAGTGAGGAGAACATGCTACAATAGTTGGTGGCCACCAAAGTTGTCGGAGTTAAGAGTAATCGTCACCGGAAGTTTCGCTATTCAATCGTTGGAATCATAGTTAAGCTTCTCGATGTAAGCCCTTAGATATATCTAGTGACTAGAATGTTCGTATAGATCGTTTTTACCTTCATAAACGGTCGTTTGGTTGAGTTTTGTGTGTGACATATATGAAGAAACAAGAATCATAAACCTTGATATTGTTGTTAAAACTACGAACTAATGATACCAAAATGATCTATGAACCTTGGAGAACATTTCTATATAGTTTAATTGAAGTTTTGTGGCTAAAAATGGTAATTTCAAAAATGGACCCGAGGAAGAAGACAATCAACAAAAATTTGCAGAAAACCTTCGGTTGATCGATTCTAAAGGTTGGATCTGTAACACCCTAATCCGTCCAGGTTTGCAGCCCCTTTCGAACTTAAGTATAAACATAGTGTTCGTAAATATTCAAAATATTTTAAACATTTTAAACTTTATTTCATAATAAATTATCCAGGATAGTAACGAAGTAGTTTAACATTGCACAAGCTTAATAAATAACAATTACAAAACATAATAACTTTACGTTTTTTAAACATTAATTCATTTCACACATCCACCTCGACCATCTCGCCCCGTCTGCTGCCAGGAATTCATCAATTCATTTTCTTTATTTACTTGCGTGTAGCAAATAAAACATACTACATGCTCAGCGGTAAAGCTGAGTAAGCATATCTAATGCGTCGAACACCCAAACAAATTGAATCTCAATTCATAATCAACCATTTGATATCATGCACACATTATACAATTCAAGCATTCATCATTGATGATATTCACTATATATTTAATTCAAGTCATCTTGTACAATATTCAATATTTAGTATCTCAATAGTGCTTTTAAATTATTATTAATCTAAGGCCAAATCAATTTAATAACAAGCTCTTAGCTATTCCTAGTCTAAGACAATATTTCTAACCGGGCTCTTAAACTATAAATAGTTTAAGGCAGAACACAAGAATCGATAATCCACCCTATGAGTCTTGTGGATTATGTACCAACCGAACAATGAACTGTCGGGTGGGTAATATCCGGTTTGGATCTCGTACGTACGTTTTAACCCCAAATTCCTGAATTGGTCACGTATGTATATCTTAAAGTTCTTCTAGATATCCTTATCACTACACATCATTTTTGTGATCATCAATATGCCCATTTTTAGTCATGATTTCTTAACTATTTATAGTTAAGAGCCTAGTTAGAAATATTATCATAGATTAGGAATAGTTTAAGAGCTTGTTATCAAAATGATTAATAATAATGTAAGAGATAATAATAATAATCGAAAGTTTTCGTTTCTCTCTCTAGATGGCGAGGAAACGAGGACAACCCAGGAAGAAATCTATGGAGATGCAATCAACGACGAAAACTGCTGATACAGTTCGATGGATAAGATCTGAAGAAGGTGAGATTGTGGATTCACTGGTGGGGGGAATGAGCGCGAGCCCTAAAACGCCTGCTGTGGTAACTGAAAAATCTCTGGTTTTATACACTGAAATTGTGGAGGGAGAGGGGTCTAATAAGAATCTAGATGATCGAAAGAAGAAAAGCTCATATGCTGAAGTACTAGAAGGAAAGGAAAAAGTGGAGTATGATCTCACTTTTATCAAATTTGAGGAAATTAATGGATAATGTATTGCTAAAATGGCGAGAGAAGATTTGATAGAGGACCTGGGACTTTGGGATCATGCCATAGTGCTGTGCATTAGGTGCAAACCCTCCCGTGGAGGTTATTGAAGGATTTGTACGCAGAATCTGGAAAGAGCTCAAAATAGAAGATGTAACCTTCTTAAAGGAAGGATTGTTTGTGATTTGCTTCAATCAGGCAGAGGAAAGAGATGAAGTACTCAAAAGAAGGTATTACTATTTTGACAATAAACCGGCCTATGTACAAGCTTGGAACCCAGGATGCCAAATTGACACATCTGAGCGGAAGGATGTTCTAATATGGGTCCAATTTCCAGGATTGAATATGAAGTACTGGAGCTTAACAGGATTAAGTAAACTAGGGAGTATGATAGGCAAACATGTGAGAAGGGATAGAGCTACTGCTGCAAGAGCAAAGTGGGGACATGCAAGAATACAAGTGGAGGTTCAGGTGCAACAAGACTTCCCCAGTATTTGTTGGAATTTTTGGCATTTTAATTGGCATTAAATGGACCAATTTGGGTATATTTGTCAATAGGTCCACTAACGGTTTTAACCGTTTATTAATGGACGTGTGTTCTCTTAACCGTTTATTAATTCGTCAACGTTCCTACGTTGTTCTTGTTCGTTGGTGTGTGGTTGGTCCGTACAATCTCCACACACGATAGCGGTTTTATCCTAGGAGGAGAGTGCCCACGTTTTTCCGGTACGGTAGGCGGCACTACTACCTTAAGGACAGCTCCGGCGACTCCGCTGTCCTTCACGGTGTTTTATTTTGCAGGTTTACTTCATAAAGACCTTGCTGCATTCTGCCCTAGGACATAATGTCCTTGCTGTCTAGTGCGTAATGTCCTCGCTGTCCAGTGCATAATGTCCTCGTACAACAAGGCTGCTTGAAGATATTGAAATTTATTTTCAATTCTGTTTATCTTGTAATATTCTGAATAAGTTATAAATTCAGAATTTTATTTATTTTTATTTTCCGGGTCCGTTCGTCTTCCCCATCCGTTGTAATCCGTACAAAAATTGTAACAATCTTAAGGTATACTTTACAAGGGACAGGTTCAAAAGTGGAGACACTTACCTGTTCTTTGCAGGTTTCCAATCATGGGATGTTGTCGACCCCAAATCAATTTTTCATTCATGTGGGGGATTGTTGGAATTTTTGGCATTTTAATTGGCATTAAATGGACCAATTTGGGTATATTTGTCAATAGGTCCACTAACGGTTTTAACCGTTTATTAATGGACGTGTGTTCTCTTAAATGAGATAAATGTTTTGACAATTTATACGCCAAAAATGGTAGAGGGTGAATGAGAAATTGATTCTTAGAGTTAACCCGTTAATAAAAGAATATGGTGAGGATTGCAATTTTTGCAATTTTACTGAACCAATCTTCTTTTATTAATTTTACGTATTGTTTAAAATTAGTTCATTTTTATGGAGTTAACTGACCATTAATCTCCAATTATTCGGGGACAAATTTTAATCGGAGCGTAGCGTAACGGACGTGTTAATGGCTAATTAATCACCATTAACATGGTATTAAGTATGCCACAAATGCCATGATTTAATACTAAGACTTAATGTGTATATGTTACATTTTTTAAGTTGCTTAGTTATAAAATCAAGGGGGCTCTCAATACTTGGTGCATTGTGTGCGTGAGGAACAAAGAAAAAAAAGAAAGGGAAAAACCTTTTGTTTTCTTTTGGAGAGAGCTCTTGATTTTCCGGCCAAATTTTCCGGCCATCTCCCTTAAAGTTTTTGGTCGTCAACGTTCCTACGTTGTTCTTGTTCGTTGGTGAGTGGTTGGTCCGTACAATCTCCACACACGATAGCGGTTTTATCCTAGGAGGAGAGTGCCCACGTTTTTCCGGTACGGTAGGCAGACACTAATACCTTAAGGACAGCTCCGGCGACTCCGCTGTCCTTCACGGTGTTTTATTTTGCAGGTTTACTTCATAAAGACCTCGCTGCATTCTGCCCTAGGACATAATGTCCTTGCTGTCTAGTGCGTAATGTCCTCGCTGTCCAGTGCATAATGTCCTCGTACAACAAGGCTGCTTGAAGATATTGAAATTTATTTTCAATTCTGTTTATCTTGTAATATTCTGAATAAGTTATAAATTCAGAATTTTATTTATTTTTATTTTCCGGGTCCGTTCGTCTTCCCCTTCCGTTGTAATCCGTACAAAATTGTAACAGTATTGTCCATTATGCTGATGAAGAAGGCAGAGTGCAATCACAGCTAGTAGAATATGAATGGAAGCCTACTATATGTGCAAAATGCAATAAAATGGGGCATACGGGAGACCAATGCAGGAAAAAGCTGGAAGGCAAAACAGGGAAAGGATTCTTTAAAAAGGAATGGAGACCCAAGCAGAAACAAGAGGAAAATATAGCTACTGGTGAAGAGAAAGCAGAGGAGAAAAGAGAAGAATAAGAAGAGGGTCAAATAAAATAGAAGGGGGCACTAGAAGACCAGGATGGGTTTCAAATGGTTAGTAAGAAGAAGAGTGCAAGAAGATTGACAATTGATGAACTGTATAAAGGAGGTTGGAGTGATGCCCCATACACAGGACATTACCCTTTCTTAACATGGTTCTGAGCTGGAATATTAGGGGTCATAACAACCCCAATAAGTAGTGGGAAATAAAGAATTTGGTGAATAAATATAGTATTAGCATTATGGGAATTTTAGAAACTAAAATAAAAAAGAGAAGGAGGAGGAGATTATGAATAAGATGCTTAATGGATGGGGTATGATAAACAACATTGATTGGCATCCCCTAGGGAGAATATGGGTGGTCTGGAATAAAAGGAAGATTCATATGAAAGTGTTGGATAGAACTGCACAAACAGTTCATTGTAAGGCTAGGGAGATGAATAATAATGAATACTTTTGGATTACTTTTGTCTATGCCTTTAATGATCAAGGGAGTAGATTACAGCTGTGGGAAAGACTGAAGGGATATGCCCAGAATATGGGGGACCCTTGGTGCTGTGTGGGAGATTATAATGTTGTACTGGAGATTGAGGATAGGAAGGGAGGTAACCAGGTCACTGATGATGAAATTAGGGATTTCAAGGCATGTGTGCTAGAATGTGGGCTGGAGGAAATTCCCTGGGTAGGATCTTACTATACATGGTCAAACAAACAGGGGCCTGAAAACATAATCTGGTCTAAGATAGATAGGGTATTATCTAATGATGTCTGGATGAGCAAGTATGGTACTAAAACAAGAGTTCTGAGTGAAGGGATATTTGATCACTCCCCCTTACTGATTACTAAGGTGGATTTATACAAAGCTAGCCCATTTAGGTTCTGCAACATGTGGTTGAAGGATCCAAAGATGGGGCAAATAATGGAGGAAGAATGGAGATATGAGGATTCCAACAAGAACATGTACCAGTTACTAAAGAATATGAAGAATCTTAAAGGGCCCCTAAGGAAACTTCATAAGGCAGAATACAGTAATATTCATATGCAACTGGAGGAGGCTAGAGGAAAATTAACAAAGTTCCAGCAAGAGTTACAAAAAACTCAACTGACAGAGGATTTGATAAAAGAAGAAAAGGAACTGAGGGATAAATTACACAAAGCAATTAGAGCTTCTCATAGTATGAAGTGTCAGCAGAGTAAACAGACATGGCTCACTGAAGGAGATAAAAGCTCTAAGTTGTTTTATGCATGGATCAAAAAAAGGGCTGCACAGAATTATATAGTGGCAATTCAGAATGATATAGGGAAAATGGAGGAAGGAACAACGAACATAGCCAATACTTTTGTGAAGTACTACACCCAACTTCTGGGAACTAAGAATCAGGCTAATGGAATACATGACACTATAGCTAAGCAAGGTAGAGTGTTGGACTTGGAGCAACAACTAAATCTGATCAGACCCTTCAATGCACAACAAGTCAAAGTGTTAGACAAGGCGTGCAACTCTAGAGGGAGGGTGAATAGAGTTGTTGAGAATGTTTACCGATTTTCGCAGGATTAAAAATATAAACGTAAGTGCAGCGGAAATAAAATAGAGAAGGGAAAGAACACACCGATGTATACTGGTTCACCACCTCGTGGCTAGTCCAGTTCCCCGAGAGACTTTCTCGAAGCTACCACTACTTCCGTTAAGCTTACGGGTGCTTAACAAACCGTTTACAAACCGAGAACTTGAATCCCACAAGCCTCGACACAACCGCTCGTAGATATGCCCTCTACAAGACTTCACAACCAAGACTTAAATCACATAAGCCTTGAACAACAAGAAGAACAATCTTCTTCAATATCTCAACAATAGCTCTCAAAAGAGTAGATAAGAGAAAAGATTAAACTCTAATGGATGACAAGAAACCTCTCTTAAAAACAAATATTTTCTCTCAAAATAATATAAATTTGAGGAAGGATTGATGGAGGATTAACACCTCAAGAACGGGGAGTATTGGAGTGTTTCTTGTTAAGAAAAATGACCAAGGAAGGATGCTTAAATAGGAGGTGAAGAAATATATCCGTTGGTCCAAGAAAAGAAGCTGTGCAGAAAAGATGCAGCATAATAATCGATTAATGCATCACCAATAATCGATTAATGCATCATCAGCAACGA